TGTTGTGTCACTATCACCAAGCTTAAGAGACAGTGCTACACAGAAAAAAGGGCACAAATTTGCAAGTCTCAACCCCTGAGTTCTATCCTCAGACTGCCACTAACACAGTGACCTTGAACAAGCAGTTTGCCCTTTCTGTACCCAAGTGATCACCATCTGCAAGACAAAGATGACTCCATCTGCACTTTGTGGGACTGCTAACGGGGCTAGAGATCCTTAGGTGAAATGTACAGCTATATAGCAAAGCAGTGTTAACAAGCCTCCAGGGCAGAGCTGAAAGTGTCTTTCCTGAGTGTCTATATGTGAGACCATCAAGTTTTGCGGTGCAGGGACCACTCGGGTCTGGCCACAGCCTGACAGTTGTCAACACAGGGGAAAAGATCTCTGCCCTTGTACTCCCACAGTAGCTACCTCTTGTGCCCCCCCTGCCATACCGTGCCTGGACCAGCTATGAGGAAGCAAGGCCACAAGCAATTCCTTAAGCACTGACCATGCCACAGGTGGTCTGGATGACCCACTGCATGGGGCTGTCACTTCTAATGTGCCCAATACCTAAAGGAGATGGCTGCCTCCCCATTTGGGAGTGGGAACTCAGAGGAGATGGATTTGCTGCATGGCTTCCACTCACAGCCCTGTGTCTGTGTTGAGATCTTGGGCCCCAGCCTTCCAGGTCATTGGGACATCTCATTAACTATCAGATACACACATTTTTATCTAGTTGAGCAAATCACACATGCAGATTGACAAAAATACAATGGCTTTCACATCATTACTTTCCCCCTCCCTGGAAATCACGCTTCCCCACACAAAGGAGACCTCCTTGAAGCCTCCCTCTGTGCACCTGGGACCTGCCAAGGGGAAGAGGTGAACCCAGCAAGGGGTAGCAGAAACAGTTTCATAATCAGGCTCTTCACTTTATTTTAGAAACATCCTGCAGAGAGGGTAACCTCCTGTCACCTTCCTTGTGGGAAAAGTTAGCATGAAGTGTCAAGCTCAGCTATTTATATCGCTGCTGATAGTCTCGCCTGTCTTCTAAAGAAGGGAAAAGTTTCTTCATATGAATTCCAGGGGAAATTAATTCATGTAAACAAAGAGGAACAGCCCTCTTTGGTGTGAATTTCCTAGCTGTTCCCCAAAGCCTCAGGTGGTCCATCCAGAACAAGAGCACCCGCCAGAGCAAGCAGCAGCAATGCAAAATGCTCACCTGTCATTCAGAGCACTCAGCACCACAAAGAGGATGGACAAAACTGCTCCAAGGGTGCTGGACATTCCCCCTCCCTCAGAGAAACATAGTGCAAAAAAAGGATGGTGGCTGGTGAGCCAGCCTTGCACACTGGCAGGTGCATCCCCACTGGGGTATTTTTGTCATGGAATTTGGCAGTCACACGGCAGCCTGGAGCTGGATGGACTCCATGCCTGGCCTGCATTGTGATATTCGGTTTTCTCCAGCTTTAATAGCACTGCAGGTGATGATGAAGCCAGGACAGCCATGTCTCTGGGTGTGTGCCAGGCTGCACTGGCCTTTGTCACACGCGCGTTTCCTGGCACCAAGGTCCCGCGCCAGCACCCAGCTCCTCTGCTGGTCCAGAAGAAAGCTGACAGCCAAAGGCACGGCTGGGCAGTGGCACAGCCCACCACCCTGCGTGCATAGGCACAACTCCACTGTCAAGACAGCCTGCTATCAGGTGCTGAGACCCCACGGAGATACCCAGAGGTGTTTTTTGCCGAGTCACACCAGGTTGAGACAAGATTTGTCCAACTGAGTCCAAACTAGGAATATAAAAGGCTGTGGATACTCACACGCTGAGAGGCCAAAGTACATGAGGTCAGCAGTAGTCTGGGAATGAGGAAAGGGAGCTATATGGAAAATTCCCAAGAATAGTAAAGACTTGAGGAAGAAAGGCAGAGTCAGTCCTGCATAGCCAGTTGTCAGGAGGTGACAACAATCCTTCTTTGCTTGCTGGCAGCAGAGAGCTCTTCTCTTCTAGGAGGCCCTTGGAACTGCCATTGCCAGAACAGCTCACTAACAACTGAAAAACATCTAAGCCAAAACACCATGCAAGGAGGGAAACCCCTCCTCTGAGTATTCAACTCGCCCTTTCCTGTGGCCATCTACCCCCTTGCAGCAGCCACTTGGCTCTCTGTGGGGCTGTAGGATGACTGGGAAGCATTTTACCCTTTGGAAAGCCCCTCCTTTAAACAGCCTGTGCTGATGAGCAGCCAGTGGGAAGGGCAGAGGAAATGGCCCTAACAGCCTAAGCCTCATGGCTGTCAGCCTTAGATCCTTCTGGTTTACGTCCTTTAGAAAATATTGTATGTATGTGTGTGGTAGGTAAACTACTGCTATTCTCTTATCCATTAACATTTTTAATTTCTAGGACTCCTCTTGCACCTACATTTGCCAGTCTTGTCTGTACACATGGATTTTTACAATTTGCAAACGTCTAGGTGTCCCTTCCCTGGAGAAAACAAGCTGTAGTAAAACCCCAACCTACCTGCACATGCTAGAACTCATGGGAAGAGGGTCTAAGCCTAAGACTGGACATGTACCTGGCAGGAGGGAAAACCCATCTTTGGCACAGCCAGGGAGAATTGTGTTCAGTTTTACCTCAACAAGCAAGGTGAATCAAGAAAAACCTATCAAATAGAAACTGCAGGAGCAAGAGAGCACCTGCAAACAACACAAACTCACCTGGAAAATGAGGACACACACCTTTCTTCATGCTCTCTCGGAAGGAATGTTCCATACGTACCATTGTGCTATACCATATCATCTTAGATGCAACTGTATAATTAACTGCAGGTTGCTGGTTGCCTTACCTGCACTCTGGGGGAAAAAAAAAAATAAAATTAAAAAAAATCCTGATTTCAATGCACCTGTCTGTAAATATTTCCCATCACTGATATATCTGCTCATATGTAATCCCCTGGTGCCCACAGAATGAAGCCATATGCTAACTTCTTCAACATTCAGTAACTGAACCAAAGCCATTTCAGAAAATGAGACAGACCCACAGATTTGCCAGTTTTTCACCAAAAGACAAAGAGGAGTCAGAAAGACTAGGTGATTTTCTGCTACTGCTCTTACAATTCTGGGCTGGCAGCAAATGAAAGCTTCAGCCTACTCTGAGCACCCACCAGGATCTACACCAGCACGACTGCAGCATGCCTGCCCAAGCAGGGAAGAGTCAAAGCCCACCCTTTGCTTCCCCTCACACAGCTTCTGACTGGTGGTCAGGCAGCAAGTGCTCACTTCCCATCTCCTTACCTGGGCAATCCTTACTTCTCTGCAGGGCAGCCCTCAGCAGCATGAGGAGTTTAAGGATTCAACTTCTGATTTTTGTCCCATCCATCCTTTCAGAGGGACCCTGCACATAAGCAAACAATGGCATGAATCATCACATGCACTGCTGCATTAAATTGCATCACACACATAACCAGAGGAGGGGATATTGTTCCCTCAACAAGCATCTCTCTCTGTCGTCCAGCTTTTGCTCACAGAAAATCTACACAATATTGCTGCAGTAAATTCTCAGCATTTAACAGTGTCTACTCTCCACAGAGGTTCTCTGTACAGTAAAAAAAAAATTTAAAAAAATTGGCTCTTAAAGCAAGACAAAGGACAATAAAGAAGGAGAGTCAACACTTTTGGTCACTATGGCTCTGGGATTTACCTAGCCTAGCACTTTGAATATTTGATTATGGTTAAGTTTATTTATTTATTAAAATGGTATTGTCAAAAAGAGTGACCATGGGAGAATGTTATCTCCAAGGCAACACTACAGACTTTATAGCACATAGCCCTTAACTCATGCACAAGGGCCAGTTTTGCAGTGCCCTGGGAAGATGAGCATGGTGAGTATAACTGGATCAAATGATTACTCAAGCACTCTCAAAAAGCCCCACAAAAAGATGGATTAAACCCATCCATCTCTTTTTTATCCAGGGGGTTAAGTAACTTGGCCAGAAACAGACTTGTCAGAGTCAGAAACAACACTGAAGCAGGCTCTCCTACATCCTTGCATTACAATCTTACTACTGGCCCACCAAACCCTTCCTCTCATCAGATAACCTACCAAAGAGCAGTTCCCAGGAGCTGCTGGTCCTTGGGATGCATTTCAAAGGAGACTTTTTCCTTTGTTTCTGTCATTTGAACCGAATTTTGTCTCAGAGCTTAATAAAAGAGGAGAGAGCAAGATCCACCTTTTAGATTTTGCCACAGTTCCCTCCCAGAGAGGTGCAATAGAATGGCAGCAAATTAGGTTTACAGGTCTGGCAAAGCTCATCAAAGTCTTAACACTCCCCAAAACTTCTGCAGTTTGTAAATTAAACACTTGCAACTAATAACACTCTATGGGCAAGGGGCAGATGGACAACAGGAAGGTTTACTCTGCATTTAGTTTCGTGGTGGCATTGAGCTCAGAAATGAAACCCAGAGCTGTGAGAACTTCACATTCCAGGTACCAGTGCAGGTATTACACAAAGGTGACACATTGAAGTGCCAAGGCACTGCTCCAACCAAGCTGTAGACTCCAGTCTCATGTCTCTGGGGATCAGCCCATTAAGGATTCCCCAGAGTGCAGTTTGCAGGCAGATGAATGCTGCTTTAACTGCACAGTCCACAGAGGGTGTAAGATACAGATTGCAGTGAAGGGACTTTCTGAACCAAGAATAAATCTGGCTCACCCTCAAAGTTTGGCGGACAATTTAACAGGTTATAGTTGGGTTTTGCAAAAAAAGATTGCTTTTTGTTTCAGAAGCTGAATAAAATAATAATTTAAAAACCAAACAAACAAAACACAAAACAAAACCACAAAAAAACAAAACCACATTGCTTTCAGTATATGTGAAACAAAGTTTTCAGCACATCAGACCTCACTCATTTCAAGTCAAATTAAAACATTTCCTCTGAAACAAAACAAATCATTTCACTCCATGCATTTCCACTTGGACGTTTTCTAACCCTTCTTATAACCACTCTCTTCTCTTTTCTCCCACAGGGGCTGCATTCAATTCTCCCTTCAAGACTTCTCGCCCCTTCTGCTGAGCAGAAATGGGGGACTGGAGTTTCCTGGGAGAGTTCCTGGAGGAGGTCCACAAGCACTCCACAGTGGTGGGGAAAGTCTGGTTGACTGTGCTCTTCATCTTCCGGATGCTGGTGCTGGGTACAGCAGCCGAGTCCTCCTGGGGGGATGAGCAGTCTGACTTCATGTGTGACACCCAGCAGCCTGGCTGTGAGAACGTCTGCTACGACAAGGCCTTCCCCATCTCCCACGTCCGGTTTTGGGTCCTCCAGATCATCTTTGTCTCCACCCCCTCCCTGGTGTACATGGGCCACGCGATGCACACGGTGCGCATGGAGGAGAAGCGGAAGATGAAGGAGGCAGAAGCAGAGGCCCAGGAGATGAAGAACAACGGTGACACATACTACCAGCAGAAGTGCCCTGCGGCAGAGAAGGCCGAGCTGTCTTGCTGGGATGAATCAGGAGGCAAAATCATTCTTAGGGGCAGCCTTTTGATTCGCACTGCCATGGAAGTGGCCTTCATCGTGGGGCAGTACGTCTTGTACGGGATCTTCCTGGAGACCCTGTATATCTGCCAGCGGGCACCTTGCCCCCACCCTGTCAACTGCTACGTTTCCCGTCCCACGGAGAAGAACGTGTTCATTGTCTTCATGCTGGCTGTGGCAGTGCTCTCCCTCTTCCTCAGTCTGGCTGAGCTGTACCACTTGGGCTGGAAGAAAGCCAAAGAGAGGTGCTCCCGCTCTTACAAACCCAGCCCCAACACAGCCTCTGGCAGACTGGAGTCTGCCCCACAAGCAGAAAGGGCCCAGATGTACACTCCTCCACCAGATTTTAACCAGTGCTTGTCAAGTCCCAATGGGAAATTCATTAGCCCCTTCAGCAACAAGATGGCCTCCCAGCAGAACACCGCCAATTTTGCCACTGAGAGGGTTCACGGCCAGGAGGATGCTGCTGGGGAAGGGCCCTTCCTTAAGTCCAGCTACGTGGAGAGCCCAGAGGTGGCCAATGAATGTGCAGCACCCGCCTTCCCCGAGAGCTACTTCAATGAGAAGCGCCGGCTCAGCAAGGCCAGCCGTGCCAGCAGCAAGGCCAGGTCGGATGATTTGTCTGTGTGACCTGTCTCCGGGAGGGACGAGGAGAGGGAGAAGTCTCAGCATTTCGTAACACTTCTGCAAAGCAGACTCCAGACTCCTGCCACTAACCTCTCTCTATTTTAACACCCTCTTGCCCCCTTCCAGTGAACACCGTTGTTATACTGCAGGCACCACCTCTCACAGCTTAAGGCAGGGCAGTCACTGGGAGGCACACACTGAAGAGACGCACCAACCTCCAGATTTGAAGCTCTCGGCCGTATTTTTATCATGAGAACCACAGGGACTGGAGACTTGCCATCCTTAGCCTGCTGGAGCACAAGACAGCAGACGCCTGAGGCTGCCCAGCAGGTACCCACTGCTGAATGGTATTCAACAGACTGACTGGACCTCAACACTCTTGCATCTTCCTTGGTGTCTATTCAATATTTGCTACATCAGCTTGGCAATTCTATTGAGCTGAAGCTTCACTGCCCTGCAGGGAGAAGAAACACACTGGTAGACTTTCAAAGACTTTCTCATCTGCTTTGGTCTCACTCTGTCAATCCCTCCTTTTCTCTACCTGAGTCCAGATATTTTAGACCAGTTTACCTGTACAGTAAATCCTACTTGAATTTTTGGACACTGTGCATGTAACTTCCCTGTAGATAAGGACATCTGTGGTCCCCCACACACAGCTGCCTCATGTCTAACATTGGAATCCTGTCCCCATTCCCACATCAGAGCAGCAAGCTGGCCCCAGAACCCAGGGGTATCACTTAGATGGCCAGTTGATGGAGACTAGGGAATTTTCCCAAGACACTTATATCATCAATCCTAAGCAAGACATCTATTAACAGAAATAGAGACTCTCGTGGGAGAAGAAATAATCTACTAGTAAAAAAGAAGGAACTACCATGTGGAATCAAAGTGATTTTTCCACTTTTTAAACTCATCTTTCAAGCAGTATGAATGCTGTTGAAAGGGTGCCACTAGCTGCCAACTTGAGAGAAAAAACATCTTCTGTTTATCTGCAGAAGAGGTACAGCCTGTTTCATTTCTCACTAACCTACCAAAACACTTCAGCATCTTCTACAAGGAGCAAAGGTCCTCTCCAGGTTCTGCACATCATTCAGCCCTTGGCTGCTCTCTCAAGCCTGCCAGTCAGTGCAAGCCAAGACATTTGTCTTCACAGCAAGTCCCTGTTCTGCCATCAGGTCATCTTCATCTCCACTCTTTC